GTGTGTGTATATATATATATCATAACTGAACCACTGTGCTGTACATCTTAAACTAATATGATATTGTAAATCAACTATACTTCAATTAAAACACACACACAAATAAAATAAAAAGAAATAGGGGGGCTTCCCTGGTGGCGCAGTGGTTGAGAGTCTGCCTGCCGATGCAGGGGACACGGGTTCATGTCCCGGTCTGGGAGGATCCCACATGCCGCGGAGCGGCTGGGCCCGTGAGCCATGGTCGCTGAGCCTGTGCGTCCGGGTGTGCTCCGCAACGGGAGAGGCTCGCGTACCGCAAAAAAAAAATAGGGAGGGATCAATCAGGAACTTGGGATTACATACACACACTACTATATATAATAAGGTAGATAACCAACAAGGACCTACTGTAGAGCACAGGGAACTCTACTCAATATTCTGTGATAACCTATATGAGAAATGAATCTGAAAAAGAATGAATGTATGCATATGTATAACTGAATCACTTTGCTGTACACCTGAAACTAACACAACATTGTAAATCAACTATACTCCAATAAAATTTTTTTAAAAACCTTGCAAAATGAAAAAAGAAAAGAGAAAAAAAGGAAAAAAACCCAGAACAAAATAAAAACAAACACAGTAAAAAAATCCACGGCTCTTTCCTAATTAGGTTACAGCGCAGCTCAACTGAGTTATGACATGCAACACGATGCTTGGAACTGTGCCTGGGATGGAGCCTCCCAGCTCATCAGCTACCGTGGACCCTGGGTTACACCCCAAGATTGTTGGCAGGGAAGTTTGTGGTGGGGAGGGGAAAGGAAAGGGAAAATAAATCTCAGGCTGCCTGAGAATGATCGTGCTCCACAGAGGGAGGGAGGGTCCTGCAGGGCCTCTAGGGGGAGACACTCAGCTCTCCCATGCTTAGTCCCTCCTTCACCAAACCCAGCCCCAGGTCTTTATCAGCCTCTGAAGGGGGGATGGGCATCCCCACAGGGGACCTGAGGAAGGAAGGAGAGAGTACAGCATCTATCAGAACCACCCACTGCTTCTAATATTCGCTGAGCACTTACCTTCATGTCCTCTTACAGAGAAAGAAACAGAAGCACAGAGAGGTGAAGCCACTTGCCCAAGACCACACAGCAATTGAGCCAGAATTTGAACCTGAGTTGTGGAGTTTGAGAGCTAGGTCCCAGCCCTCTTCTGTCTCATTGCAGGATACAAGCATTACTATTACTAACAATAGCTAACCCCTATTTGGTGCTCACTACACTCAGGGGCTCCCCTAAAAGTCTCCAATGTGGGAGACAATGTTCTGAGTTAGGAAACCTGTTATCTCCATTTGACAGATAGGAAAACTGAGGCTCAGAAAGAGTGAATGATTTGTACAAAAATCACCCAGCCAGCGGAGGCAGAGCTGGAAATTCTAGCCCTGCAAAGCCTAAGGTTTTAGGTTGCCTCTGCCCAAAAGAGGGGTGTCCTTCGTGCCTCGACCAGCCCCTTGCTCAGAAGGTAAACTGGGTGGATTGAGGACACTGCCAGTCCCTCGCCCCAGCCCCAGCATCATTGAACATTGCAAGGGCCCTTCTCCTGGGGCCCTCATGTTTTCAGGCAGTAAACAGAACCTAAAAGCCTGGGCCCAGCGCCCTGGAATCTGAAACTCAAGGTCTGTTTGGCTGAAAAATTCATGAGCCCAAAAGCTGCAGTGGGATCAGAGAACAGAGCAGCTCTGTGTGCCCAGCTGCCCTACTGCAGCTGCAACCTCCCCCGTCCCTAGAGGCTGAGGCCCTGCCCCAGTTCCTCCTAGATGCCTACAGGGACCTTGCCTCTAGACACCCCCCTTAATCTCTTCTCCACACCACTAAAGGCATCTCCCTGAAACTCACAGTCCTATGGCCCTCCCTCACCCTCACATAGCCCAGGGCTCCCCAATGCCCTCAAGCTGCCCTGCTTGACAAAGTTTGACCCCTGATGACCTCTCCCAGGAGGCACGCTTGAACCCATTGACTCAGACACACTGACTCCACCTGGTTCTCACTCAGCTCTCAGGCCTCCTCTTCAGAAGTCCTTTCTGACCTCCCACCCCCTGTCTTGGTCAGATCCCTCCTCTTTGCTTTCCCAAGTCTCCTGTGCCCCCATCACAACTGTGTTGCACCGTATTTTTAAAAAGCTATTTTAAAAACTTTTATTGTGCTAATATATATTTACCACATAAAATCTGCCATTTTATCCATTTTAAGTGCCAGTCCAGTAGCATTAAGTACATTCACATTGTTGCACAACCAACACTGCCACCCATTTCCTGAACTCTTTTTCTCTTTTGAAACGGAAACTCTGTCCCCAGTAAGCAATAACTCCCCATCCCGCTCCCTCCATCCCCCGCGGCATGCGGGGTCTTAGTTCTCCAACCAGGGATCGAAACTTCACCCCCTGCAGTGCAAAGGCAGAGTCCTCACCGCTGGACCGCCAGGGAATTTCCACGGAATCTATTTTTTGCTTTTTTAAATTTAATTTTATTTATCTATTTTTGGCTGCGTTGGGTCTTTGTTGCTGTGTGCGGGCTTTCTCTAGTTGCGGTGAGCGGGCTTCTCATTGCGGTGGCTTCTCTTGTTGCGGAGCACGGGCTCTAGGCGCCCAGGCTTCAGCAGTTGTGGCTCGCGGGCTCTAGAGCGCAGGCTCAGTAGTTGTGGCGCACGAGCTTAGTTGCTCCGCGGCATGTGGGATCTTCCCGGACCAGGGCTCGAACTCGTGCCCCCTGCATTGGCAGGTAGATTCTTAACCACTGGGCCACCAGGTAAGCCCCAGAATCTGTTTTTGGTTTTTTTTGCGGTACGAGGACCTCTCACTGTTGTGGCCTCTCCCGTTGCGGAGCACAGGCTCTGGATGCGCAGGCTCAGCGGCCATGGCTCACGGGCCCAGCCGCTCCGCGGCACGTGGGATCTTCCCGGACCAGGGCACGAACTCGTGTCCCCTGCATCGGCAGGCAGACTCTCAACCACTGCGCCACCAGGGAAGCCCCCTGGAATCTATTTTTTGAAATAGAGTTTTCATTACCCAAGAAACGCATGAATACTTTCTTCCACTAAAGAGACAGAGAGAAAGATCGATAGAACATGATAGATTAGGAAAAAGTCCCCTTTGCCTCCCCTCCCCCAACCTGGTCCTTCTGACATCCCCTATAAAGTTGAAATCTTTTTCTGTTGTTATGTGCAGATGTGTGCCTGTGTGTCTGTTTGATGTACCTCTCTTTCTTTCTCTTTCTCATACCAAAGGTAACCGACTAAAAACAACTTGCTATAATTACTCACCAATAGGACCTGAAAGCCTAGCTGAGCTACTCTGCAGGGTTATGGCTGAGGGGTGTGGAATGTATGTGGAATTTGAAGTTAGCCTTCACGTGTTCAAATTCTTGTTCAGCTCAGTGCTCACTAACTGTGTGTTTGTGGGTAAATTAGTTACCCTCTCTGTGTCACTTTCTGCAGCTGGAAAATGGTTGCAAGGAGTAACACAAAATACTTAATAAATTGCTTAATCTCCCTGTGTCATTTTCCCCAATGGGAAACAGGTGATAAAGATTTAATGAAAAGCACTTAATACCTCACCTGATGCTGACTAATCTCCCTAAACATTTACTCTTGCACTAACCTGCAGGGCCACCTCCTTCTTTCTTAAACTATTGAGATATTTCCCACTATTAAAATGTAACACATATTAAGAAAGGGCAGAAGTCAAGTAACTGTGACAAACTGAACCCATCTGTTTAACCACATCCCCTGTTTCTGTTTCTGCCCCCGCAGGAAGTCACCCTATGGCCTTTCCTGCCAATCACTACCAACAGCAAAGGCCACCTCTGATCCATGTTCCATGGGTTGATTAGCTATGCCTGTTCTAGAACTTCATATCAAAGTCTCTGGCCTTTTTCACTGGGCATAATGTCTTTTTTTTTTTTTTTAGATTCATCCATGCTGTGGCAGTTACCAATAATAGTTCATTCCTTCTTCTTGCCGAGGAGTATTCCATGGTATGGATGGACCATAGTTTGACGAACCATTCACCCGTTGATGGACACTGGACACTTGGGTTGCTTCAAGCTAGGAGCCATTATGAATAAAGCTATTACAGAGCTGCTATGAACATTTGCATACACATTTTGCGGGTTTCTTTTCTATTCTTTCTTTTTTTAGTGGTTTTGGTTTTATTTTTCTTGGGTAAATACTTAGGAGTAGAATGTCTGGGTCATATGGTTGATGCCCGTTTATAAGAAACTACCAGATCTTTTTTCCAAGTAGTTGTACCATTTTACATTCCCACCAGCAGTGTAGGAGAGCCCCATTTGGTCCAGATACTAACTAACACTCGGTACCCTCAGTATTTTGAGTTTTAGCTATTCCAATGAGTATGTAGTGGTGTTATTATCAAGTTTTAATTTGCATTTCCCTAATGATTTCATTCTATTCATCCATTGTATGGTGTTCTCTTGTTGTGTTGTGTTGTATGCACCCCTCAATTGGTGGACATACATGTTCTCCACCATTTTTTACAAGAACTCCCAAAACTGCAGGTAACACCTTTTGGCACGTACTCGCCGTGCATATGGTTTCTCCAGGATCAGTGGCAGAGAGGAATCGTATAGGGTGAACACGGTTTGGATTTAATCTTTCTGTCAGAGAGCATTCTGACCCACAGCATCAGCTCACCCCGCTTGATGTTACCAAACTCTAAAATTCTTGCCAATCTGATGAATGAAAAATAGCATCTTTTTGTCTGTTCACTCGCACACAGTCGACACTCAATATCTATCTAGCGAATGAGTGGATGGATAGACTGAATGAATGACGACTGCTCCTTGCCCACTAAACGAACCTAGAGGGTCTCTCGAGAACCCAGATAGGAAACAAAGGTTGGGGCTCCACCCCTTCCCGAGCTCGACCCCGCCCATGGGTCACGCCCCCACCCGCTCGGGACTCCCATTGGTGGGGTCGCGAGGGGATGACCAGGTGCGAGGGGCGGGCCCGGACCCGGGGCGGGGCGCTGCAGCCCGCGGAGCCTCTCGCCCTGCCGGGCTGGGGTCGCGCTGGCTCAGACTCCCCTCCCCGCCCGCCGCGGCCATGGTGGACGAGCGGAAGGACGGAGCCTACGGTAGGAGCCGCCTCTGGCCCGCGGCCGCCTCTGCTGAGTTCGGGGGCCTTGGTGGGGGGAGACATCCGAGATCTTAAACAGCCGCGCTGCAGCTGGGGGCCTCCTGCTTCCCGGCCTTGCATCCTGCTCTGCGCCGAGCCCACACCCACCTGCTCCCGCCAGGTCGCCCTGCATCCCCTCTCGGGAGCCCCTGCTCCCCCTCCAGCTGATGGGCCGGGACACACGGCGCATGCTCCGCCCGGGGAGGTCCCGTTATCTGGGCAGCTCGATGCAGGGTGGGGGAGGGGAGGCACGGCGACCGGGGCTCGGAAAAGGACCAGGGCCCCAACCTCCCCAAATCCTCCTCTTCCAATTCCCTTTATCCACTTCTTCCTCCTGCTCACACTCCCTTAGAAGTAGCCGTTCCGGGCTTTCGGCCAGATGGGGAAACTGAGGCAAGACTAGGCAGACCCACTGCTGGGGTGGGAGGCGATCGGGTCTCGCCCGCCGTCTGGGAAGGGCGGAAACAAGGGCGCCACCGGCGAAGGGACAGGAAGGAAACAGGAAACAATTGAGAAACTTTCCCCGCCCTGTGCAAGGAGCCGGGGGCGCTCGCTCCCATTTCGAGGGGTCCCAGCGACGGGACCCCCTCCCGCGAACCTCTGAGGGCGGCCTCTGGGCCTATGGGATGGGGCAAAGATGAGGCTTCCTCCCCACCCACGCCCTGCAGAGCTTCCCTTCCCAGGGTTCCACGGAGGGGTGTGCGGTCCTCAGTTTCTCTTTTCTCCTCCATTTTGGGTCCCCAGGGCTCAGGTGGGCACACGGCCCACGTGGCACTGCCTTGAGCTAAAGGCGCTCTGCCACCCCTCCTTGTGTGTCTGAAACTTCCTGGAAACTGTGAGACCGAAGGGCCTTGGGGAGGGGGCCGGAAACCGCTCAAAAATAATCAAGAAAAACGAGCTGGTTAGAGCTGTGCCTCCCTCCCCCCAGGGACTGTGGCCTTCAGAGGCTGCAAAGAGAGACAGATAGGGGAGGCTGGGTTCTCCCTGCCCAGCCCAGCCAAGGGCCTGGCAACTGCACAGTCTCTCCCCTCTCTGCTTGAAGCTGCCAGCCCAGACCTCCTGAGGGGCCCCCTTGCTCTTGGTTTTGGCCCAAGCCCCAGACCCTGTGGCTGCCCGTGCTGTGCGTCCCTTCGGTGTGGCTGGCTGTCTCTGATCTGGGATTCTCTGCCTGGGGTCCTCCCTGCCTGTGGGCAGCACCTGAGGGATCTTTGGTCTCCCTGAGGCAAGCCTGGGGGCAGAGTGGACAGTGATATGATTCACCCAGCCTTGAATTTGGCCAGAGGGAGCCAGCCATGCATGGTCTTGCCAGGAACACACAGGAGGCAGGGGACCTATGTGCCCAACAGACCTTGTGCTGGGCACTAGAAGCACATTCCATCGACAAATATGTATTGAGCATCCTTCAGGCAGTGTCTAGACACGGAGAACACAGCAGTCAACAGAGTGGAAAAATTCTTGAATAAATACGTAATTTTAGGTAGGAGTGTGTGTGTATGTGTGGTGGGGGGAGGATCATCTGGGATTATTTTAGGTGACCAAGGGCTGGAGGTTGAGCCAGCCATGGGAAGATTTAAGCAAAATGTGGCAGAGGGAACAGCAAACAAACCACACAGTTGCTTAATTATTTCTCTCTGTGAGGCTGGAGAGTGTGAGATGGAGACTTCAGCTGGGTCTTGCAGCCAGGCCCTCACCTCCTCCAGAGGGGCCACATGGCTTGAATCCTCAGAGTGGGCGGGGGGTGGTGGTGTCTTGCTTAGTTTGTAAGTAGTCCATTCTCATTAGAACCAAAAACCTAGGGCCCTTGCTCTGCCCTGTGAAATCAGATAACAAGATTTCCTTTGGGAACAGTGTGGTTTGGAAAGAGTGGCTCACAAATCCTCCCCTGTACCCCAGTGCCTTCCCATCAGTCATTGTGAATTTAGTGGGTGATATCAGACAGACATAGGCTCAAATCCTGGTTGGTTCTGATACATACAAGCTGTGTGGCCATGTGTGAGTTGGTGACCTCTCTGAGACTCTGTATCCTCATCTGTAGGGCTGGGCAGACTGTACTGGCTGGTGGGAAGTGTTTTGCACAGTGCCTGGTAAGCTGTACGTGCTCAGGAGGGCTCTGGGACTGGTGATACTGGGGACATGGATTTTTCCATGAGCTGCTGGAGAAGCAGCCCTATCTGTTGAGGCACATACTTGGACAAGACTGGGCAGGACAGAAAGCTCCTTCCCTATCAGACACCATATCTAGAGGAAGGCAGCGTCTCTGAGGAAGCCAGGAAATGGCTCCCGGCCCCGACGGATGTCAGCAAGGGGCACTGCCATCCTTCCCAGCCCACTCTTGGCATGAGCAGTATGGAAAAAGATTCTAGAACCTAAAACAATAGACTCTGATGGGGTTCGGGGACTGGGAAAAAAGTCATGGTGCTTGTTTTAAAAGCAGATTCCATGGCTCATTCGCTAGAGAGTTCAACTCAGCCAGCAGTAGGGCTCTGGCATCTGAATTGTTAAAAATATTGTGGAAGAGGGTATTGTTAATTGTAACTTTTGCAGGGGAAGAGATAATACATTCACATGCTTCAAAAAACAAAAGATAACAAGCTTTATCATGAAAACTCTCCCTCTTGCTCCCTCTCCCAACATCACACTTCATTCTTGGGATGCATCAGTATTACAACATCTTGTGTTTTCTTCCAAAGTCTAGGCCTTAGACCTTTGCATGCAATTATATACATATTCTTTATTTAGTGGCTTTTTTCCCCTTTTACAAAAATGTCAGCAAATCCCTAGAGTACTAGCTTCATGAGGCAAGAAGGCATGTCTGTTTGGTTTGAAGGTGTATCCACAGTGCCTGGCACATAGCACATAGTAGGTGCTCAACAAATGTTTGTTGAATGAAAAGGTGTTTGTTTCACATCATGTTGCTTTTTTTTTCCTTTTTCTTAATATATGTCAGAGATGATCCCTTTCTCACATCAGCACCTGGAAACCCTCCTCAATCTTTGCTGATGGTTGCATTAAGCTGTGCATTTGTGGGTGGACCCTCTTATATTGAACCAATCAAGCGGAATATTTTAAACATTTTTTTTAAGATGAAATTTCATTTTATTTATTTAATATATTTTGGCCCTGCCGTGTAGCTTGCAGGATCTCAGTTCCCCGACCAGGGATCAAATCTGGGCCATAGCAGTGACAGCACCAAATCCTAACCACTAGGCCACCAGAGAACTCCCTAAAGTTTTTATTGAAGTAGAAAATTCATACGTAAAAGGGTATAGATTCTAAATGTATGAGGTAACCAGCATCTAGATCAGGTAAAAAATATTACCAGCTTCCTGAATCCCCTCATGCCCAAGGAGGGCCTATCATTATTTTTTTTTTATTTTTTTGTTTTTATTTTTTTAATTTTATTTTTGGCTGCATACGGTATTTGTTTTTCTCTTTTTGGCTGCGTTTGGTCTTCGTTGCTGCACTCGGGCTTTCTTTAGTTGTAGCGAGCGGGGGCTACTCTGCCTTGCAGTGCATGGGCTTCTCATTGCGGTGGCTTTTCTTGTTGCGGAGCACGGGCTCTAGGCGTGCAGGTTCAGTAGTTGTGGCTCGCAGGCTCTAGAGTGCAGGCTCAGTAGTTGTGGCGCACGGGCTTCATTGCTCAGCGGCATGTGGGATCTTACCCGACCAGGGCTCGAACCCGTATCTCCTGCATTGGCAGGCGGATTCTTAACCACTGTGCCACCAGGGAAGCCCGAGCGCCTATCGTTATTAATATATTTTTTTAAATTTTTGTGGTAAAATACATAACATAAAATTTACCATCTAAACCATTTTTAAGGGTATAGCTCAGTAGTATAAGGTATTGTTATTACATTGTTGCACTGTGGCCTGTTTTTGTAAAGCCAATGGACTAAGAATGGCTCTTGTATTTTTAAAGCGTTCTTAGAAGAATATGTGATAGAGATGACATTTGAACCAGAAAGCTTATAATTTTTAATACCTGGCCCTTAGAAAAAATTTGTAGATCTGTTGTAAGAACCTTCTCATCACTCCAGAAAGTTCTCTCCTGCCCCTTCCCAGTCAATCCCCAATGGGAGAATAATAATAATAATAATTATTATTATTATTATTTTGACCACACCACGCAGCTTGCGGGATCTTAGTTCCCCCACCAGGGATTGAACCTGGGCCACGGCAGTGAAAGTGCCAAGTCCTAACCACTGGACAACCAGGGATTTCCCAGGGAGGATTATTTTAAAACAGGATTTGAAGTTCTTTTATAACAAAAGTAATATATTCTCTCTGCTGGGCTGGGGGTAAGGGCTGAAAATTAAAAATAAGCCCTCAACCGCATAGAAGATTTTAGCTTTCCAAGTGAAAGAACCCTTCACATACCCTCAGCTAGCTGTCCTCACCCCAGAGGTAAGACAGCCAAGAAGACTCTTTCCAGAGCTTAGACTATTTATTTCTGTGTGTATGTGTGGCATCTGTATCTTTTTAAAGCTCCTCAGGCTGGTTTAATGAGAAAGGGTACTGTTCCTAGGGTGGGCTACTATGTTCCCTTGTGAGATGAAGAGCCTTGCAGTTGCAAAACAATGTCTAATTATGTTAGTTTGTGAAATAGCAAAGTGAGGAACAGGTAACAAAACAGGGGGGATGAGGGATAAACATCTAGAAATCTGCTTAGGTATGTGCCCTGTGGACAGTGTCTAGAAGGGAAACCAGTGAGAGGAACTGCCCCCAGGGAGAGGAAGTGAGGGCTCTGGGCCAGGGGTGAGAGGGAGAGGAATTTTTCTTAGTCCAAAGGCTTGTTCTGCCTGAAGTTTTTTTTTGTTTTAGTCTTGATAAGCATACAGTTTACTTAACATAAGCAAGTTCATTCATAACTTCCTTCAGCAAACATTTATTGTGCAGGTACCATGTGCCAGGTTCTGTCCTAGACCCTGGAGATCCAGCACTTGTCAAGCTGAAATTGTA